GCAGCTGGTGACAACCGTTACAAGGTTCCTCGCAGTTTGAATTTTCAAGCTGATATTTTGGCGCTCGACAAGATAAACTTGCAGCTGGAAGACGTAGATTGGTTGGAAGAACTGACGCAGATGATGAACGCTTTGCTAGTCGACTTTGAATAGATTTGTACTACTCCAGTAAAGACTTTTTAAATACAGATTCCTTGTATTTGCATTTGGTGGACTCTGGAATGTTCGCCTGCAATATTTGGGGGACAGAGGTAGTATAAATTTGGATATATGCAATATTAGATGAAATAAAGTGAAAGAGTTAATCAATATCACTTTCGTCGTCGCTGCTACAACTTCCTGCAGAGGATTCTTCGTCCGACTTGAGTGCATCAATCTGAAGTAGATGATTAGGCGAGTTTTGTAACTTGTCTTCGGCGACTTTGATACACCCCTTAATTGCATGGGACGTCAACTTTTGAAACGCCGTCTTGAGCCGTTCCTTCACCTCAGGGAACTTTGTCAGGTCCGTGTACTGGCGACCAACATCACCCTTCACTAGAGCCCACACCATTTCAATAGGCTGAAGTTCGGAATGGTGTGGTGGTGTAAAAACGACATCATGACCTCAACCTTCAGCCATCGTCACCACCACTGGCAGAATGTTCGCATCAATGTACGCCTTCAATTGGCCCAAATAACACTCTTGTAGTCGCTGTCCAGCACGGGGATGCCGTGCAATCTGCACGCTTCCAACAGCGCACCTTTGCGTTGTCGACAGGATGGTGTATTATTCGGTCGCCCTTTGTGATATTTAGCGTTCTCCATGACAATCAGGACGTTGGACACGCCGATGTCGTCCAGCTTGTCTAGTAGTCTGGCAAACCACCGCAGAAAGTAGTCATGGGTGAACATCCCATGGTAATCCTTTGGCTCCAGGCTCATTGACTTCCCACCAATAAAATGTTAGCGCCAGAACTTGGCTGTGGATGGTGGGGGAGTCAAGAATGGCAGCAACAAATCAGTATCTCCGTCCTTTGTGCTTCTCCTTTGCCACAATACACAATGTGTCCAACGGGTCGTACAAGCTGTGGTTACGGCCCTTGTAGTGGTGGAAGATTTACGACTCATCTGTGTAGACGACGTGTTGCCGCTGGGTTGATTTCAAATTCGATTGCATACGCTGCACATATGCGTCCCGCGCCAATGTGTTCTTGCGCGACAAGTGGTATGTTGATGACCCGTTTTTTATCCTCGCTTGTATCCCTACTGGCTCAGGTACCTTAGCACAGACCGGAGGACAGCTTTGTAGGAGGTTGCGTCGTTGACGTCAAAGTCGATGACGTACATTTTCCTCAGGTAAATGACGACATCGACAGCTGTAGTCCTTGTGCACGTTACGCGACGATTGCGCACGAACTCTTGTACCACGGCAACCACTTGCTTAGTTTGTGGTATTGTTGTGCTATAAGATGTGATGTTGCAAGGTGGAGCTACAACTGTACTGATCCCGACGACAAGTACTCTCGCCAAACATCCTTGACAACAACCAGGCTGCGACCGAGTGCCTCGGACACTTTACGTGCTGCAGCCTTGGATTTTTGTCCTCTGAACCATGCGTGCAGCTGGAGGATGTCAGTCGTTCTTACCGAGTCAATAGGGACGTTGAGCAAGTCCGGAATCCTAACTTTCTGGACTTGAACTTCGATTCGAACTCCGAAGAATTCAGACTTTGCTTTAAAGCTGGTCTGGAAAGTGGGGTGGTAAACAGATTTTCTGCTCCGAAGTCTGTGAAGTGCTATAGCCAACCAAATTGAGCTGTGGCAGGGTGATGTACGTCTCCCTTCCTCAGCTCAAGTCGATGGGAAAACCTATGCAAGAGCACCTCGCTTGGAGCACCGAAATGGATCTCGCCGTACTTCGAGAAGTTCTTCGTGTCGAGGCTAATGATGGAGAGTACGGCACACTCACGCTCCGCTGGAAGATGGTTGCCACAAACATTTCTGCGTGTCTTGGGATGGAAATTTCTCCTGCTCGGCTCGAGATCATTATGACGCCATGCTGGATGATTTCAAGAAAACGGACAGGTTTCAACGGCTCAGAGAGACTGGCAGCGACGAGCAAGTGCTGCTCTTACATGATCTTGTCGACCACCGGGAGGCGAGAGACGAGGAAAAGAAAGCGAAAAGAAAAGGAGCAGAAACGACGCGACTCGCTGGAATCCACAGTGCCGCAATTATACCTCGAGGCCGAGATGCGGGTTGCCAAGCGACAGCGAACAGCCAGCAGTAGACGACAAAAGTAGAGACCGGCCCCGGCCTTTTGGAACTTTTTGATTTCGAAAAGCAAAGACACTCTGACGATCATGCGTATAGAATGGAGCGCCTCGAGTTCGACAAGGAAGAACAAAGAATCCGTTTGGCTCAAATGACCGAGAGCGCCAAGCGCAATGATCAACTCGAGCGTTTGTTGACTGAAATCGGAAAGTTAATTCAAGTTGTTGCTGAAATATCGAAGTAAGAACATTAAAATTTTTCATTGAATGATTTCACTCCATGTTAACATGCAAATATTCTTCTAATGTTGGAGGTGATGAACCAAAGTACACGCTATTATATTGTAGTATTGCGACCTCTATCACAGGTGATGCAGTTAGTTAACAATACAGCGACCTTGTACATCTTGGATATTGGGCTATTGCAAACTCGCATTTTTTAAAGTGGATTGGCAAAATGACTGGTCGTCAATATCCAGAAATTTTTGGTCAAATTCATTTTTGGTTATTTTTTATAGGTGTTAATTTAACCTTTTTCCAATGCATTTTTTAGGTTTAGCTGGCATGCCTCGTAGAATTACTGACTTTCCTGATTCTTATTCTGGTTGGAATGCTATATCTTCTTTTGGTTCTTATTTATCTTTATTTTCATCTTTATTTTTTTTTTATATTATTTATATAACTTTAGTAAAAGGAGAAGAAATAAAAAAAAATCCATGGGTATAAGAAATTTTTAAATTTAAATTATTTTATTATGAATAATTTAATTTATTAAATTATTTATAAATATTTTATAATGTTAAATAAAAAATAATTTTTTTTTATATTTAATAATTTTTATATTATAAATATTATAATTAAAAACCTTAAAAATAATTTTATTATATAAAAAATTTATATAAAATAAAATAATTAGTATGAATAAGCTAACATATTTTACAAT